GGATGGATCCTGAGTGTCCCAAATCCCAGAATCCTGGACCAGTTTGGGTGGGAAGGGACCTCAAAGCTCATTCCAGGGCCACCTGCCATGATCTCAGGGTGCTCCAGTCCTTCCTTGGACATTGCAGGGATCCAGGGGCAGCCCCAGCTGCTCTGGCAATCCCAGCCCAGCCAGGAATTCCTCATTCCCAAGATCCCATCCATGGCTCTCAAATTCCCTAAATTCCAAGGGGCTGTGGAGGATGTTTTCCCCTTTTTCCTCTGCAGATGGGCAGCGCTTCCCCCACATTCCCATTTTGAGTGAGCTACGACTGCGATCCAAAGCAGGGGAGGGAAAAAAACGAGGTTTTCTACAGCTTTTAACCAAAATCCTGCATTTCTCTGCCACTTCCTGGCTTTAGTAAGGACAACACCGAGCATTTGCATCTCATTTTCCAGCCACAGATCTCAAAATGCTTTTCCAAGCTCACTGAGGGCCATTAGAGCATCCTGGGCCACTTTATCCCGGGAGGATCATCAGCCTCCCCTTTGCTTCCCTGAGCCTGGGATGGGCTTTGATGGCTGAGAGGAGCATCCTGCCCCACTCCAGGAATGATGGCTGGAAAATGGACAGTGAGCTGTCATTTAAAAGTCACTTTCAGGCCCCTCCAGAGTGGTGCCCGAGGGGTTTCATATCTTTATACGGTTTTTTTTTTAACAAAAAATGCTGGGAATTTGGACAATGGAAATCAGGCCCGGTGTGCAGGGGAAATTGCTGCCTTTCATTTGGCAGCCAGGCCACCCAGCAGTGCTGAGCTCAGGCAGGGCTTTGTGTTTAACCCCCTAATGAACTGAATTCAGCTCTTAAATGGGGCTCGATTTCTCTCGAGCTGCAGCTGGTTTTATTTTATTTTTTTTTTTTCCCCATCACTGAACTTGTAGCACATCTTGCTGTATTGATTGCTCATGGAGACTTTTTTTTTTTTTTTTAAAGATATATTAATAGAAAACCTTTTTTGAAAGCCAGATTAAAGATGATCAACACGAGCCTGCCCTGGGGCAGAGGAAGGCCTTGGTGAATGCTGGGGCTTTGTTATTGCAACAAAAGTAAATTTCTGTCTAAACCAGAAAAAGCTGCACGTTTCCACCAAATGCAAACCATCTGCCATTAAATTAACAAGGTAAACCTTGAGTGCTTCGATTATTTGGTGAATATCTGCTGCTCCAATACGACTTAATCTAAATGACAGCTTTTTATTTAAGCTTCATAAATAGCCTTATTTTCCAGTATTTTTTCCTTTCCCACTGCCTGAGCAGTTGGGGCACTTCTGGAAGAGCACAAATCCTGGCCAGCTTCCCTTCCCAGGTGCTCTGAACCTCCTTTTTGTGAGGATGGGCCTGCCCTGGGTGCAGGAATTAACCTGGCCTGGGAGCTGCTGGTGGTGGACAAAGTCACTCAGATCCTGTTGGTTCTGAGGAGAAGCAGAGGAAAGTAAAGAAGGAAAAGAAGGAAAAGCACTTTTTAGGCATTTTATCTGCTTGGCCGTGGTTCGTGCCCTCAGATCTTTTAGTCCATCCCACAGCTCAGCTTGTTCCCGCTCTGGGACGCTCAGAGATTCCCAATATTCTCCACAAACATTGGGAATCTCTGAGTCTCTCCAAACCTGTGCCCAGGTTTGGCTTCTCCAAACTCCCTCAGCGAGCTTGGGGCGGTGTTTAATGAAGGAATGAGGTCCCTGCCTGGTCTCCTGGGTTTCCCAGGTGGGAATGTCCTTGAGCAAGGACAGGGAGTGAAATGGGCTCTGTCACACCCAAACCAAGCCAGGGGTGATCAGCTGCTAATTAATCACCATTTATAGCTTGGATAGAACTACAGATGTACTCGGACTTAGCAAAGCTGCTGCAAACAGCTGGGAGAGCT